TGGGGGTTTAGGGTTTAGGGGTTTAGGGTTTAGGGTTTTAGCGTTTAGGGGTTTAGGGGTCTAGGGGTTTAGGGTTTAGGGGTTTAGGGTTTAGGGGTTTAAAGGATGTTTAGGGGTTTTTAGGAGAGTATGGGGGATCCTGGCGGGCTGATGAGTTAATTTCTCAATGAATCAACAGCCCTAAACCCTCAGCCGCAATGAACCAGCTATTTCATTAGCTGTTTTGGAGTCTCTGGGTGAGTGAACTATCGAAGGTGTTCACAACTTCGTCAGTAGCTTGTGCAGACAGTCTCGCGGGAATGGAAATGGAAAGCGCGACTGTCGATGCTGTCCGTTTGGCAAAGAAGGCGCAGAAGAAGTCAGAGCTCTAATTTTAAGTGTTGGGACGTCTTGCTAGAGTACATAAAGGATATCAGCCCTAATTCCTAAGCCCTAAACTCTAAACCCTAAGCCCTAAACCGGAAACCCAAAGCCCTAAACCCTAAACCATAGTCTAGGACATTTTCAGGTGGGTAGTTACCGTTATAGGATTTTTATAGAAGGTCTATATGCCTTATGGAAGCCTTATAGAAGCCCTATATACCATAAACTCCCCACCTGTACTTTCCTTTGACATAGAGGATATTCAGTTGAAGGGACGGAGTGGGCTGCACAGAGATCGGCCGTCTCTACACCCGCAGCTTTAGGCGTGCAGCCTTTCAGACAGAGATTCCATCTCTTAAACCTACCTTAAGAACCCAAAACCTACTTTTTTGTAGGGTCCCTAGAAAAATCCCATATTAGGGTTATAAGAAGAGCCTACAAAAAAGTAGGTTTTGGGTTCTTAAGGTAAGCCCGGAACCCAAACCACCCGGAAGCTTCGGAACTTCCAGACCCATCCACACCCACCAGGTGCGTTAGATCCAACCCCTAAACCCCGCAACCCAAAACCCGAAACCAAACCCTGAACCCCTAAACCCCTAAGCCCCTCAACCCTAAATCCTAAACCGAAGGCCCTACGGCGGAATCCCCTAAAACACTTCTAAACCCCTGCCCCGGGGCTCTGATCCCGAAGCCCGGATCCCTAACTACAAGCTTCATTGAAGCTGATGGCGACCCTCGATGGATTTCTAGTAGACGATGAGGCGCGACTTTGAGCTTAGGCTTTTGTTACTGGGGTTCAGGGCTTCGGGTTCAGCGTGTGAGATTTGAGGTTTGACTTGTAGTTAAGCTCCATGGGGCTTTCAGTTTTTGAAGATTTATCATTTCAGATTGTATGATTTGAGGATGATTTAGGACCAGGGAATCTCATTCCTGAACTATTGCTTCTTACGCACTTCGCAGCCAAAAAGTTAAGGGCAATCAAACTAGTCACCAGCGAGCAGGAGGGTAACGTTTCGATATGTAAGCCCGAAGCCCAAATCCGTAAAGTGTTTACCTATAATATGGTTCGACTATGGTGCTATGTATCCTTTCAGAAATGTTCGGGCTCGCTTGTTGTTTGGGGAGAGGCCGTTTATAAACCCTAAACCCTAAAACCTAAACCCTAAACGCTAAACGCTAAACCCTAAACCTTAAACCCTAAACCATGACAATAGCAAGCTGTCGACTGAATGAGCAAGGCTGATGGTTGGGGTCAGATCAAAAATCTAGTGTCGGGCTTTCTGGTGTGGGATTTAGGGTTTCGGGTTTAAGAATCAGGGCTTTAGGGATTTATATAGGGTTTATAGGGTGGAGGATTTATACTCAAAGCTGTTGTCCCTAAACCCTGCCTATGGTAGATACAAGCCTACGTATGAGTCGAGACAAGGGCGACTATGGCTGCTATATACGCAACAACCCAACTTTAAGCCTAGCTTTAAAGCCCCCGCCTACAGCTGGCTCTCATCCTTGACATGGGAGGTAAACCCCCAAACTAAATCCTACAGCCCTAAAGCCTGAACCCTGCCACCAAACCCTAAGCCGAAAACCCAATGCCCAAAGCCCGAACACCGAAAAGACAAAAAAACACAGCCACAACCCTACCCTAAACCCAAACCCGCAAAGCCCTTTTCCTGGCGAGGTGGAGGACGAGAGAGATCCTCTGGACCGAGTTCCTTGTCTCTGTGAATTTGAATACGGGTACTTCTCTCAATCCTCATGCCACTTCAATGGCGGATTAGGGCTTGGTTTAGGATTTCGGTGGTCGAGACGGCCGTTCTGAGAAGGCTAGGTGATGCTCGATATGCATGATCATGCCTGTTTTCACCTGCTTTCAGAAAGCATTCTTGACTTCGGTTTCCATGGGTTTGAGGTACGGTCGTTTTCAGGGTGTATTTCGGATTCAGAGGGTTTGAACTTGGGTTGTTTGGGGCTGAGCTCTTGGGTTTAAACTAGGTACTCTGAGCGGTGTCGGCTACCAATACTATTTTTTTGGTAGGCCTTTTCGGCTACAGGTAGAACAAGGTTTGGGGATATACCATGATTACAAAGAAGAGAGCATCTATTCACCTATCGGGTTTTTAAGTTCGGGTGTCTGTTTTCGGGTTGCCAGTGTTTCTCAGGCTATTGCCAGCGGAATGAAGCGTCTGCGGGTTTCACCATCCTTGCAAGAGTCTTTGTGTAGTGGTAGAAGTAGCACTTGTACGAGCGATAGTAAGAACAACACAAGTACTAGCAGTGGTCATCGTCGTGGTAGTGGTCGCAGAAGTGGTAGGTGAATAGTGATTGGTGGTAGATGGTAGGTGGCACTGCCCTAAGCCCTAAACCCTAAACCCTAAACCCTAAAACCCTAATCCCTAACCCTAAACCCTAAACCCTAATCCCTAAACCCTAAACCCTAAACCCTAAACCCTAAACCCTCAACCCTAAACCCTAAACC